GCAGATTATGAGCATATGTAGGATAGACAACAGTTAACCTTAGACTTGAAGAGGTTAAGATTATAGTGATCAGAGAATCATCTACTGATGAATCTGTTCTACAAAGTTGCAGTTCTATTGTGTTGAACTTTTTTCTTAATGGAATATGAAGAGAATGAGGATGATTTGACCCTGTGTATATGACAGGTTTTAGCTGTAAAGGTCTGAATTAGTAGAATGAAAGTATTTAGTTCATTTGAACATTTGTCCTGGAAATATATATATCAATGTGATAGATTTGCAGTGTTTTGTCTGTTGCTGGTGGGCTTTAGAGTTAAAAGTAATTTATCACCTATGAGGCTGTGTAAATATTTTTATGAACCCTGACAAGGCTGGAAATTGAGGATTGGGCAGCAAAACTCCATTTTTGGCCTGATCCGACTCTTGAAAAGATATGGCATCAATACTCCATTTTTGGTCTATCTTGCAAAGATAGAGCATGGCAGGAATCAGGTACTTTCTGGAGAAGTTTGTACTGACCATTTTCCCAGCATCTTTAATGATGGATGGTATATATGAGTTCCACTTGGAGTTTAGGGTGAACTTGACTCCCACTAGACATTCAAGTCAGATAGTCTCATTGAAAGTATGATACCTCATCATGATTGAAGAAAATTCAGGGCCTTTTTGATGATGATGTAATATTACCTGTTTGGTTCTGGAGCTATTAAATGTTACAAGTCAGTTCTTACCCCGTTGAGTTGTACAAGCAAAGAAATAATAATTCTCCAAATATATGACTTATGAAGAAAGGCTTTTTAAGTTTTCTCTCCTTACTTGTATTCTATAATTAACATTAATTATCAGTAATTGTCTTTGGATAGTTTATGATAATTAATTTTACCAAGAAGGGAAAGATCTTTTGACCTGGCAGGAAATGAAGTTTTTGCCACTGGCTGCAATTATAATACGACTATAATTAAACATTTATATCATGTGACTATTGCAGCTTTCATAGAATCTTGAACAGTAGAAGAGAACGAGACTCAATTAACTATCTGCTAGCTCAGTGCTCTAGCTAGAAAATCAAGCTTGTAATTGCTGCAGCCATATAATATTATACATTTATTAAATACTAGAGAGACATTTCAAAAGATGCTATATGCACAGCCAAAGAGAACAGTGCCAGCTTGTTCATCTTAAAGATGTTTACGTATAGAAATGTGGTTTGTGGTGGTTGGGAGGAGGGTGCAAAACATGAATATTTTTCTAATTAGTGAATAATCTTATTCACTGGTCTATCGCTCTGTGCACATACGAACGAATATTATCAAGCCTAAAGACATTTTTATTTCTTTGTTCCGCTGATTTATTCTAGTGCATCTCTGAACCCTGACCTGTTTATAAAGGGAACCCAGCATACAAGAATAGCAATAACCCCAAACTAAAGATTTCCAGCTAATGAGCACGTCCTCTTAAAAGAGCCCCATTTCCATTCCTTGGCCCATCATCAAGCTGTGGTCCCTTCTTCAACAATGATTATAACCGCTCTTTGCTCTGCCAAGCATTTTATGTCTTTTCCTTCCTCCATCGTCTCAGCACAGCAGTCTTTCTTGCCATCTTGTTCTAACTTGTTATTCCTGGCTCTTACCCACTCTACATTCATAACCTTATTTTTGCCCTCAACCATTTTATCCGAGAAACAATCCATTCACCCCGCATCCACTGACCACCATCCTGGTCGGCGATTTCCTTTTCCTTAATAAATATGCAGAAAATGCCAGATAACAATTGGTTGTTGCAAATTTTATAATCACATCACTTGTTTTCTTTCTTTCATCACCAGGTGGTCTAAACTGGTTATAAGCTGAATCTTTCTTCACAGATTTGAAAAGAAAAGAGGAGAGAAATTCATATCCAAATCACACACAATGCATGAAAACAAAGCAAAGTAACAAAGAATTCAAAACAGTCTATCAGTGCAAGAATATTGACCAGTAAACATACACATGCAACTCTATATACACATCACTATGAAAGATTGCTTCCAGTGAAATTTATTCAGATAAAGCTTTGATTAGATGGTTTTTGTTTAAAATTTCAGCTAACCTCATATTACAAATACTTTAAATTAGAATGTCTTCCAAAATTAGAAAAAACAAGAAGAAAATCCTCATGGAAAAATTCAAAGAAATTAAAAAAAAACATTGAACATTTTCTGTTTGACGACAGTTCCAATTACAAAACATATGGCTACATGACCAAATTTTCTTCTTTCTTTTACCAAAACAAAGAATATCTGCAACAGTTAAGCAAACAAGAACACATATGCATATACACTACAGGCAAAAAGTTTGGGGTCACCATGCATTTCTTTAAAAAAACACACCTTAAAATGAGATATTTTTAAATTAAAATATAAAATTTCAATAACTACAATGTATTTCCTTTTATTTTTCAGTCTTTCACCAGGCTTAACTTCCAAAAAGTTCAAATATGTATTCATCTATATGTTAGTTTTATTGATGAAAACAAATATATGATGCTGTTGTATGATAATTTTTTATAGTTGAGTGCTTATTTTTTGTTAAAAAAAAATGCAAATACGTTGTCATTACTGAAATTTTAACTTTAAAATTTTACATTAAAATTCAAAAATATCTCATTCTATGGTGTTTTTAAGGAAATGCAAGGTGACCCCAAACTTTTAACCTGTAGTATATATAGGAGGGAATGCTGAAAAGATCAGACTTTCCAATATCTAACTAAATGAACGAACAGGTGGAATCTCTTCTTGCTCAAACTTTGTTAATCAGAAACTTGAATTAATATATATATATATATATATATATATATATATATATATATATGTGTGGCAATTGAGTGTTTCAGGTCTGAATGCAATCTTCAGATCTTATTTATACATATATATATATATATATAAACACATACAAAAACATATATACACACACACACACATACACACATATATATATATATATATATATATATATATATATATAGTCATCCACAGATAGGCTGTTTCACTGTATCACAGCTCATCAGTCTGGCTAGACATGTGATTTCTTCAAGCCAGGATTGAAATCTGACTGATGGGTATGAATTTCTGGGTATTATAAACCTAATGTCTTCAGCAACCATTTTTACCAGTGCTCATATTACAATTTTGCTGTTATCATTGCATGTTTTTACCAGAGCTCATATTGCAACTTTGTTGTTATCATTGCTTTTCTCTGGCACTCCTTATTACTGGTTCCCATATTGTATTTATTTCTATACTTGGTCGGCTCAGGAGATTGTTGTGGCCTAGCATATGTGCTGATTCCTTAAGTTTACAAATTTTCCAATAGTGTTCCTTGTCTATGATCTCAACATGATCCCACAGAGGGTGGTGATCTCCCTTTTCTCTCCATATGTGGTCAGCCATGCCTGATTTTTCCACTTCCCCTTGTGTTACAGCTTTCTGGTGTTCTTGAAGCCTTACCTTGAGGGGGCGGCCTGTCTCTCCTTTATATTCCTTTATGTTATTGTTGTTGAAATTTTTCTCTTATTTTTTATATTTATTTATTAACTTTTTTTTTAATTATTATTTTTTCATTTTATTTTAATTTAATAAATTATTTATGTATTTATTTATATTAGATAATAGAAGTGTTTCATTTAACCAGCTTTTAAAATTTTTATCATTATGTATGTTGGCTTAGGCAAAGTGTATATTTTTTTGGAAAGGAGATATTTGAAAACCTCTCTGGTGCATATTTACATTTTGGCAAAATTTGATAGCAGCATTCTAAGAAACTTTCCATCTAATTTTTCATGTTGATAAAGAAAAGTTTTCCTTTTGTCTTTATCCATATTGCTTTTTAAAGATATATTTTTATTTATATCTGAATTTTTACACACATAAACATATAAAAACAAAGAGAAAGAAAGCGAGATATAAGTTGTAAATAAAGTTTTAGTCATGATTTTATACCAGTTTTTTTCTTTTTTTTTTTTTTTTCAATTTTTTATGCCTGCTTTGGGCATTGAACACAGTTCTTTTCCTAAAATCCAGTATCATTTCCTTTCCCAAACCAGTATACATAACTATAAAATGTTTTTAAAATTAAAATGAAATGGTTAAATTAAAAATCTTCTATTATTTAAAATATATAATACATAAATTAATTTCTCAAACTAAGATAATATAAATAATAATTACAATATAAAAAATTCAACAACAATAACATTTACATTACATCACTTAGCATTCTCCATTGTTTCCCTTGACTTTGAGTTTGTCTGAAGTATATTCATGAATGTTCTTAAATTCAAAAACTTCTAAAACCTAACAACATTTTTACTTCTGTTTATAAATACTTGTTACCAAATTAAATCCTTACATTTGCCTCGATGAAATCTATCAGAAAATGAAATGTGACAGCTAAGATAAGTTTTCCTTTTGTTTTTATTTCATATATTGTCATGAAATTGAGTATTCCAAACTGCAAAATGAATATTGACAAAAGTTTTAATTGAGACATGTTCAGCAGAGGATGTTATTGGAAAATTTACATGATTTTTTTCATAGAATTTTAAGTCTGAAACCAATAATTCAGTGTGCATCATGTCTTCATTTAAATGCTCAGTAAAAATCCTAATTCGAAATACTGTGATAAATATTTTTGAGGAGTTTGCATAGAATGTTTACCTTTGCTTTCATTCAATTAGACTTAGTTTTAAACAAAAACAGGAATATGTTTACAAGATCACTTTTCCTGCATTGACTAAACAAAGCAAAGCTTATTAATTCATCAAAATGTCATATCATTTGAATTCAAATCTGCGATTATTACATTTTGTGTATAATTTCACAACATTTGTAGGGGCTTTCAGAATATTATTCAGAACTGAAATACACAAAAGCATTTTTTTTCAGCTTAAAATCAAGCTGTTTTATTATTATTATTATTATCACCATCACTATTACTCTTTACACTGCTTTCTCTTGTTAATAG